CCCCCCCCGAAATCCAGGAATTGTTTATTAAGTCTACGTATTATGTCCTACTAGATGTAAAATCGTAAAAGTTCACTAAGGTACATAATGCTTAATTTTGACATGCGGTACTGCTGCATTATCGTAATTTCGATTTCTTTTATCTAGAATTGATTTACTGATATACACGCGTTGTCGCGTTTCAATCACCGTACAATAATTATACGAGTATTACGAGCCTATATGAGCTAAAAATATTTCCGAGAAGTTGTGACGACGATGGCCGATAACGCTGTTATATTTTAATCGCTATTATAGATAAATATTTGTTGTCTGATATATACGACGTTTAGTATCGCACGTAGTACGTACCTACTAACTACTAAGACAGTGGATTGTAACGAGTGTTTTTATTTGTTGGTTAAATAAAATAATAATAATACACCTAAGCATAATGAAAAGAACTCAACAATCATTGTTGCATTTTTATAAAAAATCTAAACAGTCCACCGAATCCATCGATGATACAGTTCCATCTACATCGAATGTTTTACAAGATGATAACATTATGGCAACACTTGAAACAGAAAAAAAAGCTCCAAGTCCACCAGTTATTTCTCCGGTAGTTGAACCTAGTTTAAAATGTTTAGATTCTAAGCTTGATATAGAAGATTATGTTGAATGCAAGAATAATTTAAGTGACGAAGAGAAAGTTTCAATTTTGCAAAACGTATGGACACCCGATTTAAAGTTTAATTTCCCATATGACAATTGTGGAAAATATAAACGTAAATTTCAAATTAAATGGCTTGAAACTTTCAAATGGTTAGCATATTCAAAATTAAGAGAGGGTTTATTTTGTAAATTCTGTGTACTGTTCTTAAATTTAAATCAGGTTGGTAAGGGATCACATGAGAAGTTAGGTAAACTTGTTTTAAAACCCTTGACAAAGTTAAAAGACGCATTGGAAGACTTTAAAAATCACGAAAAAAATGATTACCATAAAAATTCGTTACTTACTGCTGACAACATAAAAGCAATTTTAGAAAAAAAAACAAGATAATATATTAGTACAATTAAATAGTAAACGAAAAGATGAAGTTATAAAAAATCGCGCAAAACTTAAGCCAATTATTCAAACAATTCGATTACGTGGTAGACAGCAAATAGCGTTACGGGGGCACGAAGATTCTGGTAGAATTTCTTTAGAAGAACCAAAAAATAACGATGGCAATTTTCGTTGTTTGCTTCGATATCGCTCGAAAAATGGTGACAACGTGTTAAAAGAACATTTGGAAACTAGTGGTTGTAAATCTATGTATACAAGTCCACTTATACAAAACGAAATAATAAATTTGTTTGGTGATTTAATTCAGTCAAAAATTCTTGAAAGAGTTTTAAAAACTAATTTTTATACAATACTTGCAGACGAAACGACTGATATTTCTCAAATTGAACAGTTCTCATTATGTATTCGTTATGTTGACGAGCAGGTTTTTTCAATTCGAGAAGATTTTCTTACATTCGTTCCGGTATATGATATATCTGGTGAAGGTTTGGCTAACACGATTAAAGAAACATTAAAAAAAATTGGTTTTGATTTGAATAAAATGCGAGGTCAGGGTTACGACGGGGCTGCAGCAATGCGTGGTCGTTTTAGAGGTGTTCAAGCAATTATTAAAGATATGTACCCAAAAGCATTATACACACATTGTGTATCACACTCACTAAATCTTTGTTTATCGGATGCTACAAAATCTCAAGATATTCGAAATGCTTTTGGTATAATAAGTGAATGCTGTTCTTTTTTTAACAGTTCGGCAAAACGAACTACAGTCCTCAAAAATAAATTAAAAGAAATTAAACCAAATTCACAATCTACAAAATTGAAATCTTTATGTGAAACTCGCTGGGTGTTACGCCATGAAGCAGTTATGCTTTTTAAATAATTTGTAGAGCCCGTTGTAGCTGCATTAGAAGAAGTGCAAAGTGAATGTTCTGGGACCGATTCTTCAAAAAGAGCTAATAGCCTTTTACATTGTATTTGCAACTTTAATTTTTTAATATCTATTTGTGTGTCCAGTAAACTATTAAGTTATACTTATAATTTATCGAAATATTTACAAAGCAAAAATATTGATTTATTTAATGCTCTTAAACAAGTTTCCGGTGTAATTTCTGTGTTTCAATCCATAAGAGAAAACGTTGATTTAAAATTTAACAATATTTATAAAGAAGCCAAAGATGTTGCTGAAAAGTTAAATATTGAACCAAAAATGCCTCGTATTTGTAGCAGTCAAAGAAATAGAAGCAATGTACTATCTAACAACATTGAAGAATATTACAAAAAATCTATTTTTATACTGTACTTGGACGATTTGATGATGGCATTAAATGAAAGATTTATACTTCACAATGAAACTATAACTTCATTACAATATGTCTTACCAAGTATTGTTGTTGAAAAACCATTTTCTTATTTAAAAAAAGCTGTTGAATTTTATGAAAATGATTTACCGGGGCTAAACGACGTTATAGAAGCAGAGTACGAAATTTGGCAAGCTAAGTGGAAGAATATTGAAGACAACTTAAGGCCCAAAACTGCTATAGAGGCTTTGAGTGTCTGTGATAATTTAATGTATCCAAACATGTATGAATTACTAAAAATTCTAGCTATAATACCAGTATCTACCGCTACAGCTGAGCGCAGCTTTTCAACGTTGAGAAGACTCAAAACGTATTTAAGAAATACAACTTCAGAATCCAGACTAGTGGGACTTGCCCTTTTAGCTATTCACAGAGACATTGACATACCAGATGACATTTTATTAGATAAATTTGCTAACAGTGGCAAAGAAAGAAATTTAAATTTGATTTAATTTGTTATATTAATATTGTATTACCTATTATTATTATTATATATTATTTCATTATTAATTTTTTGAAAACATTAAAAATCATGACAAAAATTAAAATTGTGTACTAATTTTCTAACTCCTATTTTTAATTTAATAGGCTAAATTAGGGAATTTCAGTTGGAGAAAATACCACAGCCCCCCCCCCCCAAAATTATATCTAAATACGCCCCTGTTTTTTAGTATCATTTCCTCTTAATCCAGATGCACTATTTTATTGGCTCGGTGATCGAAAAATATTTTATAGGTTATATCAAATAATATGGACATTGAACGAAGGATTCTAGGTGTAGGGTATTGCAAATGTGACTTTTGGATACGGCAATTGTGTGCGTCAAAGCAATACAAATTGGACAAATGACGACTGATGCTTAGACACAATAGTTGTGATCAAGATGAGTCGTAAGTATCACGAGTTTTTCAGATTTTTTTTTTCGTCTAAAGTACGTACATGTGTTTGTGTGTATCTGGTAAAAATAGTAACATTGATTATGTCATTTTTTTAACTTTGGCGGAGAAATTGAACCCAGGGATGCCCTCAAAACGCGTGGTCTGAGAACCGAAATAGAACCGTTAGTGGCGCATTTTATCTACCCCGATTGCCGTTACATCACCAGAAATTTTGGTGGTGGCATAACGGTCGTCGTGGATCTTGTTGTTGTTATCCCACATATTCGATGGGTTGGGTGACGAAATGGTTCCTTGCATTATTAGCGGCGAAAAGTGTGAAGTTAATTTTCGCTAACGGCCGACGGGACATTGTTACAACACGCAACGCGGTATATTCTCAAAGGTATCGATCAAATCGAAAATCACATTATACAAGGTAGTTATCAGACCAGTTATTTTGTATGGACGTGATTAACATGGCCAACAGCCAAAGGATAAGAAGACATAATAGCAGCCCTAGAAAGAATAATACGAATGAGAGTATACGGACCGAAAAGAAATAATATCACGAAGTAATATAGAATCACAACAGTTATATAAAGAACTGTATATCAAAGACACGATATAAAATAATCGCATAGGCGTGTGGAGGTCAAATAGTCTAATGAAAACGGTTTTAAATTAGTAACGTCGTGGGAAAAAACCGGCCAAAACAAACAGAGATTGTAAAACGGGATGGAGTAACAGTTGGGAAGCATGTTTGTGTTGCGGTAATATGGATCTCAATGGCCTTTAGATGATATTTATGATGATTCGTCGATGACACAACGCGGCAATGATTGCCACTCCGGGATACCACTCAATGTACACGTATGTTTAAAATTTTTAATCATTAAATGTTTCGTATAATCTGCGCTATCACTGTACGTACGTACATATGCGCTCACCTATTCTATTGATTGCGGCTGGAGTAATTCGGACATAACAATATCAGCCAATGACAGGTAATAAATCCGGGGCATCCGAGTTGGGTCCCGAGTACTAGGAGCTAATCGCAGGTAGTATACTAGTTGGCTCCCGGATTTTTAAAGGTACTACAATAGTTGGGTCCTGAATTATTTTAGGTGTTACACTAGTTCCTGAATATTTTTTTGGTAAGTACTACATTATACTAACATTTTCCTTCCCATTTTAACAGACTTAGAATTGTTTATGATCTATTTAGACCACAGGTATGGTTAAAAATGTTTTTTGTTCTTTAATTTCTTTTTCATTAAAATATAAATTATTAGAATTGTGTTGGTAAAAATATTAAAAATGTTATAAATCAAGTATAAAAATACATATTATATAATATAAATAAAAATTAACGGAAAAGACATTAAAAAAAAAAGAACTACAAAAAACATTTTTAACCATACCTGTGGTCTAAATAGATCATAGACAGTCCTAAGTCTGTTAACATGAGAAGGAAAATGTTAGTATAATATAGAACTTACCAAAAAAATATTCAGGAACTAGTGTAGTACTAATAAAAATCCGCGACCCAACTAGTGTAGTACCTAAAATAATTCGGGACCCAACTAGTATAGTAATTTTAAAATTCGGGACCCAATTCGGATGCAGCCAATAGAGCTAGGAGGTATGCATTCAACTGCTCTTTCTCACTCGGATATCGATTCGTTGCCGTTATGATAAATATTATTATAGTTTACTCACCGAACACTATGACAAACGTCATTTTCACCGTTTTGATTTTCGCTTTCGGTATGATGCCCCTAGAACTGGATCTCCTGATGTCGTGCTCTTCGGGCTCTGTAACGCGCACTCATTATTATTATTAATCACATTGTTATCGTTTTTTTTTTTTACCGACACACGTGCACAATAATTAAAAACACAGAGGTCGTACTGTATAATAGTATAGCAGTGGTTTCAATATTTTTAAAGAACGTGGTACACTGTGCTCTCCAAGAAAATGTTGGCACGGCACACGAACAAATTGTTAAGACTAGTTTTTTCAGTCATATTTTTTATTTTTTTTTTTAAACGGATCCCAACACCCAGTTTGAAAACCGCTGCTGTACTGCGGTATACGGTATAGTATTTAAACGTGCGGACGATGATGATATTACTTTTGGTGCCTCGCTGTACCGCGTTGCTTTTGGCCGGCGACAGGAGTTTGCTCTTCGACCAAATCGTGTAAACGATTATCGTGTAACATCCGCTGATGATGATCGCCGGCACCACGAACACCGTCGTCGCCACTATGCTTATGTACAGTTTCCATTGCCACGGCAAAAGTTCGATCCAGCACTGCGTGCGACCTGTGTGCAACGCAAACGATAAAAACGACTCGTCCAAGCGCGTATGCAATAGGAGTTTTCGGGCAGGGCCGGCGATAGGGTGGGGCTGACAGGGATAGAGTCTCGGGGCCCGTCGTCTCGGACTTTTACTCGAAACTATTTCCCAATCTCGTTCGCCGTAGCATGAGACGCAGATTTGAATATTTTTATCCGTACAAAATTACGTACAAGTTGTGCTCTTAGCCCAATAAGTGTACGTAAAGGAGACCCGGGAATCGATCAAATCCGGGGCTCACAAAAGTTCTCGCTGGCCCTGTTTTTGGGTCCCATGCCGGATTTCCTCCCGCGCACACCACTAAGAAAATGTAAGAAAACTTGGTCTCGTGCTTGTATTGTGTCCCGCACTTGTTAACAATCGATTATTTTTCGTCCACGTAAAACCGTTTAGATCAGTGATTCCAAACCTTTTTAGTAGTGCGGACCACCAATTTCGTAGAAAATCTTTGAGGCCCACCAATAGTTATATATGTATAATGTGCTATAATGTATATGTATACGTCAGTTATTATAATTTATTTATTAAAAAAAAATTGTTTATAAAAAAAAAAAAAAAATATATGGATTAAAAATGAAAAGTTTTAGCCTTAAAACACTTAAAATTCAATTTATTTCTACATTTATTTTTTAAAAAAATTTAAGTAAAAAAAAGCTCGTTCACACAGACACACAGGTTATCGAAATATAGCCCACTAAGTTTCTAAGTCAAATTTTAAAAATTGCTGGAAAGTCTTGCCGAATATTTAACTAGAATGGTAATAATGGTGTAGTTTTAAAAACGATTTTAGAGTTTGATTACATGAAAGTTCAATCAACGAATCTTCTTCACTTGCTGATATTTAATATTTTAAAAATATATGTAAGTAATGTTAATATAATATGGTTCACAGCCCACTTGTGGGCCACGGCCCATGGGTTAGGAACTGCTGGCTTAGATGATCGATAAAGGTAACCAGAATAACATTTTCTGTCGTCAGTTGTTACCTTTGTTATCACGTAGCCATTGAAAACCTTAAAACTTTTTCCGAAATATTTTTTCGTGTACGCGCAACTGCCCTTATTATGTAATGAACAGGTGATGCGTAGCGAATGTATAATTCTTTTTAAAAAACGGATGTGTTTGAAAAAATAAAATAATAAATAAACTCAAAATATTTATCGAGTTCAAATTTCATTGTAATTTACAAGATTAAAACATCATAGATTTTGTTTTGTCAGTAGAGTAGGGGGATGTTACCAGGGTTCATAGTTTGCCCACCCTAAGTATGTTTAAATGGTCTTGGGAATAATATTTATAGGTTAGGTAGGTACGTACGACACTGATTTATGCCAAAATTATACCATTTTATAAATAATATTAAAAAAAAAGGAAATCAACGAATTCAGATCCACGTATATGTATAGTTTCCAAGTCATATAAATTTCGAAATTCTACCCAATAACATATTTCTAAAAACCATTATTTATCTCGGGTGTGAAAAAAGAGATTGATGCGTATAATGAAATCAGAATTGTAAATTATTTAAAAAATGTGTTGTAAGTTCAGGAATAAATCAGCCATGTTAAGAGGGGAGGGGGATTTCGTTTGTGCCTTATGCTGTGACGGATTTCTGCTTATGGACTATATATAATGTCAACTACTACGTCTGTGTGTGCGCGAGGCGGCGGACGCCGCTTTTTATTGACAAAATATATATTTTTTTTTTTTTAGTTTTTGTGCATCACGTATTTGGAAGTCAAAATATTTGAGGATTTTATTGGTTTTCTTCACTGGTTTAGAATTTATTATAAAAAATGATGTAAGTAAATTATAGATGATATAGACAATTATAAGGCTTAAACTAATATTTGGTTTTATTATTTTAAGTCCAGATGATAGAAATACCTGTGCCTTCATCGAACTCCGTTAGTTTTAAGAATGTATTTCACGCTAGCAATTTATTTTTTAAGAGCGAGAAATTGAACAGAACGGCCGACCTCGTCGTACCGATCCTTATATATAATAAATGGTATTTGCATAAATTATGTTAGAAAATGATTTTATCTTGTACATGATTATTAGATTTTACTAGATACTACACGAGATGAATTTTAAGCATATTATAGTTGCAATATCGTAAGATAATTATGATCGGATAACAGTTTTATCGAAACAATCGTTGAAGGTAATATTTAAATGATTTTCATTAAATGTTTAAATAAGACATTGGAAAAAATGGGTCGCGAAAAAAATTAAAATTCACCGTGATACTAATAGAAAAAAAAAACATCAAAGCAAGTGTCATGAAAGCTACGGCAGAAAAATATCTTGTCGTGGAGAGAAGTTTTTTTAATATTAGAAATATACAATTTTTACACAAATTTTGTATATAATACCATTAAGATACATATATCTATGGATTTTGGTTCGTCACATGAATATAGCTCAATAGGGGAAGACAACCTCATCATTGGCAATACTTCATGTATAGTTTGGATTAGGTGATCTGGGTCAGTAATTCATAACCTCTTTAAACCTGATGTCTTCTTAAAAGTAAAAATGATACACTCGGAATGTGTACAGTAATAATGCAATAATTCCAAATGTATAATTTGACGAAATGTTCACCATCGTTAACCACAATTAGAAATAAGTTATACTGCTTTGTTCATCATAGTATCTGCATTTTAGCTTTTAGGTTTTAATACGAGTACATATAAAATATGTGTATGCTCACTAACACTTTACTATGGGCGTAGTCAAGAGAGGAAGGAAGGGGCAAGTGCCCCTCTTTCAACAGCTAACAAATTAATTTTTATTGACATTTTAAACTGACCCATATATAAACTGCTTATAATTTTTCACTTTTTTATTTTTTCAATATATTTTTTTAAAAATTATATTCTAAGTATTCAAATTATTATTTCCTATTTAATGACAGTTTTTTTATCAAACACTAGTTTTAATTACATTTTTTTTAACAATACAATTTGACATGAATATTTTTAATATATCATGATTTTTTTTTTCGTATTTACCTCGTAAGTTAAAATTAAAGGTCATAAAATAATATAAATAATTTGACAATCGTACAAATTTAAAAATACACTTAATAAATAACGATAAACATGTTTTCATAGTTAGTGTCCCTCTCCCAATGATGAAATTTCTATCTACACCCTTGCACTTTACCGCCCAAAATGTACTCTCCGCTCTCTTTCCTATTACTCAGATCGAGTTCACCGATCCTCAGCACCCTTGCACATCTACCGTCGACAACCATTGATCTAGGCGAAGAGGATCGATAACCCGTTTAGTGCACCTATGCCTAAAATATGTACGCATCGTTCTAGTGTAAATGCGACACGATGACCGAGACCTACGTACGTGGTAGTATGGTTTTCCTATGAGCTTTCGGATTTCCGCATTTGGACATTAGGATTTTCGGTCCGGGGAGGGAGTAATTTTTATTCCGTTCGATTCCACGACACGGAGTGTTGCAAAGACGTATTGTATTCATTTGGCGGGACCCCAGCAAGCGCGCCCGCTAGATAAAATCCCACCCGGGGCTAAATTAAAATTATATGGGCTAAAACATCGTGCACTTATCTAAAAATAGATGAGAAAAAAAATCAAATACCATAGAAATCGGTACTCTGGAGAATTTATAGTATTAAGCGATATGCAGCCATGTGCAAACATTATAAACTAATAAATACGTTCAAAATTATACATTTTAGATTATCTAAAAATATAATAAATTTTACTAAACTTCATAAATGGATCTCAATAAAATTATGTTATAATTAATATGCGTGGTATTAAATTAACAGTAGATTTGAAACAAAAATTTCCAGTAGGGGCAATGACCCTTTTGTTCCCCCCTCTGCGGGCACGCATGAACTCCAGTAGCAACTCGAGCATCGTACACTGATACACGCGATACGTCGTACCTTGTATTACCGTCTCTTCGTTAATAAACACACTGGGCACGGCGAGCACGAAACTCAATATCCATGCGCAGCCGATCAACGCTCTGGCTCTGCGCCCTGAAAAAAAAAAACAAAGAAAATTCCATATTTATTCCGTTCAACGAGACTCTCGAACCGACGCATAGTGGTCAAAAACGTAAATAGTTGGCTAAAATTCGATTTTCACTATTTTTAAATACTCAAATGAAGAGAGTAAAAATGTTTTGTATAATGTCCAAGGCGTATGAATATTATTAGGTATTCCCATAAAATAATAACTGAAGTAGACAGAACATAGTTTGTTTTTTTTCATAAAAACTATGATATTTTGTCAATAACCGTCATTAAGTTTAATTTTCTACTGCAAATAAATTAAAATGAAATCGAAGTGCTGATAAATGTGTCCAGGTTGGATAACATACAAAGATGATATTTAATGACCCGATATGAAGTTACGATTGTTATTAAGCCCGTATGTGGTGATTGAAATGTACAAAGTTACAAATGATCAGTGGCGGCTCGTCAGGGAAGACTTTGGGACTGCGTCTCCCCTTAAAAAATAAAAAACAGCTACTTGTAAGTAATTACTATTTAAAAATGTATAGAAATATTTTTATTTTTATTGTAAATATGTTATAGCCTTTTCTTTATTTATTATTATAAATTTAAAGCCACAAAATATAAAACCTATATAATATTTCGATGGAAACACTATTTTAGTAATTTCGACGACGGTCGCCGTTTTAGTGAACTGACGTCCGACAGGTTCAATAGTAACGCGTGATGGTTTGGCTTGTTTGACGAAGAGGTCCGCGGAAAATAATCCGCGTATTATTATAGACGCTATTGAAATTGGGTCCACGACAATAATTTCCGTGCTATCGCGCTGTAGTTGGTCGCTGTACACCGTCATCTGTGAATTTGCAGGTAAAAAAATTGCAGAATTGAATTAGTTATTAAAAATATTTAAAATTAAATTAAATTAAAAATATTTACTTAATACTAAATTTAGTATTAAGTATAATTAATTATTCGATAAATGGATTTTTCTTGTTCGTTTTTGTATGGAGTTTATGTTAAATAATTTAAGTCTCCCCAGAATATTTACTGCACATGATATAATAAAAAACTTGTTCGCTTTTTTAAACAAATTCAATGTCCAAACATTTTCATCGAGTTACACGACGTAATAAACACCACCATTTAAACAGCAATCTAATGCTTACAAAACTTTCATCATTAATTGTTCATATTTGCTGGTTTCTTTTTATTTTTTTTATGAACACTTGAAGTTTGAAAGCCGATCAAGGCGATCATTCATAAGAGTATATATTTGAATATTTTAAACTTAAAAAATAAAAATATTAATAGCAAAGTATAAGTTGTTTTAATTTGACTTATATTTATAAGTATTTTTTTTCCAAAAATAAAAAAAAATTTCTTAATCAGATCTTTTTACGTGGTTTGAAAAGTTTTTCCTGTGTGGCATGTTTTTGAGCAAAAATACAGGACACGTGCAGGCCCTTTAAGTCGATATACGAATACGAATTATTATTTTAATAATTATTATATAAATATGAAAATTAATTATAATTTCGGACAACTATTTTCATTTTTGAACCACTGTTCGTCGGTCGGGGTGGTCCGGAAGCGCGCGTATACTCACAGCTGCTGGAAAAGTTCATCGGGTGTGTGATTGCGTCATATCTGTCGATGCTTAACGCGACCAGCACGTACGTAGACGAATACGTGACGACCACCTGGAGATAAAAAAAAACAAGCAAGCGTGTGAAAATACAGAATTACAATATTTTTTTGCGAATAGTTCGTGTGGCTCTTCAGTGATAAAATTCGATATTTTTTCAAGCAATATTACATAGCAACATGTTTCCATGATTCTTCACAACATCCCAGTAAAATGGAAGCACCTGGTTACGTGGTTTTTGTAATATTTACTAATTTTTAAATAATTTCAATCTCGTCATTAACGCTACACATGATTATATTCATGATCATTCTCATCAAATAAAATTCGACACTGTTTGCACACGTTATCACACGTTTGTGTAATCGCCATCATGCACTAACAACTGCGTGGCATAAAAACTTTTTACTTCCTTTTTTTCATTTTTGATTAATACATCGCATACATCATTCATGGATTTTTGATTAATATTCGATGTATCATATATTATCATGTTTATAATTATGGCATATTAATAATGAAAAACACATATTTATATATATAATATAATTTTTTCAGCGTTTTAAAATATATAAGTATACCAAATGTCACTGTAATAGATCAACCCCAAGATAAAGTAATGATGTACCAGTTATTAACGCTATTGTTTATTAATTGTACCTATTCAGTAAAATTGATGAAAAAAAATGTAATTTTTCGGTATTATTTTTATTTTTGTTTGATTTGTCTAATATTGAAAGTTTCTATATGAGTGAGTGTTAATGCAATCATAATTTAATTTTTATCTGTTGTATATACGGATCAGTTTCAACCAACCAAATAAGAACATCCTAACTGTACTTGTACAACGCTTTTGGTTAAATCCCAAACAATATTTTATTTTCATTTATCATCGAGCACAGTGGCGTAGCGAACATTAAACCATATGGAAGCGAACAAATTATTTATGACCTACCCCACCCACCCTTCTCCAACTGATGTATACGATACTTGTATAGTTATATGCTCAAATAGGGGGGTGGGGTAGCACCCAAAATAAAGTTGTATCCCCTCTCAAAAAAAAAAAAATACATCAAAAAAACTTTAGAAGTCAAAAACTCAAAAAAGTCACAGGAACGGACAACAATAAAAATGCGCAGGTTAGAAGCGTAGGCCGTAATGTTAAACTACAGAATGCAGAAGCCGTCTATCGAGACGTCGAGTGTCGATGTGAAAGTGTCGACTATTTCAATAATTTAATACATTCAAAATAATATTTTTCTAAAAATATAAATCTTACATGTACATCATACATGTACATTAACCACTTATCCACGGGTCAGGTACCACCACCCCCACCCCCCAAAAAAACCAGAAGCAATTGCTTCTGAAAAACATGATTCGCTACGTCACTGATCGAGCACAAACGGTAAATTTTAGCACTGACTATACTAAGATCTAGTTTTATAAAAAGTGTGTAATAATATTTTATTTATAATCTAATAAAATTACATACTTATTAAGTACATATGTTTTTCATTATCAGGACTGCAAATAAAATGTATTAAACATTAAACATATTAATATTCTATAAATTAAGTGCTTTTACATTAACATATATATATAGTGTGTGTACAGCGCTGAACTTCCGCCTAGGCAATATACTTTCCTGGGACCCAGGTCGTTGGCCAAGTACCAAAAAAAAAAAAAATGTAATACATATACATTAATTTATTTTTTTATTATGAATATGATATATGTGTAATTATTTCTTATTAAAGTATATTGAATATATAAAAATTAAAAACAGTTTTTATTAATATATTTTTAAAAGACCCCATCTTTAGTAGCTGCCTCGCGGCCTTAAGACCCTTAAGTTTGGCATTGTGTGTGTGTGAACAGCATATATTATAATACGTATGCACTCGCGACCGTCGCCTAAAGTACGTAACCGCGAATAACCACGATTGCGGTCTACCATTAAAGCGGTGGTGGGTTGTTTGATTTCGAAAACCGACCTCGTTATGGCCACTGCGATTTATGTACTATTGTACATAATATTAGCAAATATATTCCTTCATACTGTTATGACGTGCGCGCATATTCTATAAAACACTTTGGTATGTGTAGGTCACAGTAGTAGTATGGGTGAAACTAGGAGGGCTTGAGAGAGTTAAGCTCTCAAAAGCTCTCAAAATATTTTCATAATTCTCCGAGATTAAAAGTATGAAATCTCAGAATTTTGTGTTTGATATTGAGATAAAATTTAATCATATATGTCAGTGGTTCTCAAATTTTTTGGCTCACGAAGCACTTACGTATTTAAAACAATTTCAAACGCTACAAAAATCATGAATTTATATTTAAGAGAACAATAACTATACATTTTATGTCGAAAAGAACATATAGCCTAAACTTTCATTTTTTTTTTTAGAATCTAGGATTTGGTAATTTGCTGTGAAACCTGTGGTAATTTTACTTTGTATTGATAATTTTATTTTATTTAGTTTTGTAAAAATATCAGTTAAGTTATGAAATCGAAATAACTAGATTTTATCAGTAAGTTTGAGTTGTAAATTAAATTGGTGTTAATAAAACGTACAATTCATTGAGCAATTCAAATAATCGTATCCAATGTTTTTCCAAGATAACTAAGAAATATATTAAAATTAAAATTTAATTAATTCAGATGTGTACACGAAACAACTGAGCCCTTAGATTTCTCTCGAGAAGCTCTAGGGCTTCATAGAGCATTATTTGAAAACCTCTGGTCCATGTTTATGATTTTAATACGTGAAATGACAAATATAACAATTACAGATACAATTACAATAAACAAAAATAACAATTGCTGTTATTCAGTGTATTATGGCTTTCGATTTACTTAGCAGTATTCAATATCGGAATTTGTTTTACAAAATTGCGCTCCTTCATCATTTTGTTAAAATCTGAACTGAATCTGTAGTAGTGAGTAGTGACAAATTTTGTCTGTATATAAATTAGTGAACCCATATTGTAATCACACGTATCGAAGGAACAGTATCGTGGAACACGTCGTGCCGATTGATTACGTTCCTTCACGGTCATTTCGCTTGAACGATTGCATGTATTTGCCATTTTACACAATTCGTAAGACCGCACGACAATGACGATGGCGGTTTGTTCGAAATCGAATTGTTATAAAACAAACGCGATGAAGCATTCCATCCCCAACACATATAGCTATCGATGATCGAAGAAACTTTTCTATGTGTTGCGTACGCCTTCACCTCGTCTATGATTTAAAAATTCAACAATTTTTATGTACCTGCCGCTAAACGAAGTGCGTACAAAAATGCGTGTTGTGTAGTGAAATTATTTCAGTTGATGGAAATTGGATTTCACAATTTTTCGGATTTTTAATTCAATTTTTTTTCAATTTTGTGAAATAATGTTGAATTTTATTAGGAAACTGTAGATCGTACGTTTTTATATTTTGATGGAATCGAGTAATTTACGAGATATACAGTTTTAAATTTAACACAATACACATATATTATTATACGAAACACTGAAAACTGATCATTTGAATTCGTTATTTTTTTTTATGAATAATTAAATGTTGAGTTTCGACGCTATATCAATGAGGCTCGAGTTTCGGTATCTGTTATACAAATTAATTCCCGGATTTATTTCGGTGGTTAATAGTTTTGTGAATAAAGGTTAATAAAAAATTAAAATATTTCAGTATTTGTAATATAGGAGTCTCGGGTTCAATGAACCAGCAAAAAATATATTTTTTAATTAATTATACTTTAAATTGTACTCGTATTTTATAGTCTTAGAAATTTCGTGATAATGCAAAATTCTGAAAATTATTAAATGCGAACAAATAACGTTGGTACTAAAGAAAAATGTTGGTAAGACTATAAGTATATATTCGTTGAACTTCAGCCGAGGGCAGTAAAAACGATTTTCTGATTCCATAATGAAATAAAATTGTTATAGCAGACGTAGGACCATTGTAACAAATCTAATATCTGTCAAACAAATTGAAATATAAAGTTAGTAAACTCGAATGTTACGAAAAAAGGACACTGAAAACAGTCACTGTTTCTAACCGTATACAAGCGTTTCTCAGGGTCATCATGTACGAGTATTGCTTTTTGTTTTTTTCAAATACAATATTATATTGGTAATTCGGTGATTATTCTTAGCAAACAAATTTCTGTGGCCTTTGAGGCTGTGAAGGTTTGAAGCGTTTGAAGTGTATTGGATATTAGCTTCATAGATGCGTAAAAACAATTGATGTATATCACAAGACGTTCACAAACAATTAACAAACTTACCATATAATGCGCTGTAGCCGTATTTTAAAGTAATACTATTTTGGAAGGTGCTTTAATTATATATCATCTCCACCCACTGCCATTGTGAATATCTATAGTTTTTTTTTTTTTTTTTAAACCTTTATATTTTGGGTTTGTAGAAAGGCTCAATGTATCGATGCGTAACATTTTGTAACGATTATATTGACTGGAATGCCAACACTACAATTTTACGAACGTTATTTTAATAGAAAGTCAACGTTCGTTAATAGAAAGTTAATAAAAGTTTTTGAAAAAATCGTGGATAACTATAATAAAGAATCAGTTTTTTAGTAATATCTTGATCGCTTTTAAGTAAATACGCGAGTTCTCCTTAAAAACGTTTTTAGAATTTAAAAATCGCAGTTCAATACTTTCATTTTTTTTTATTATATAAAAGAATATCTATATTGTGTTAAAATGTGTGATAAATAAAAAAATTTGCTGAACGAAAAAAAAAACATTTAAAATATGAACACAGTGAGCAAGGAGCTGTCGTGCAGTGACTAAATTTTTTTAATCGAAAAATTGTATTTAAAAAATTAAATAGTTAAAGAAAATATAGATGATTTATAAGGAAATCAAACAGCGTATAAAGTATTGTATAATATAATTACACAACTTTTGAATATTTCTTGGTTTAATGTCATTCCTTTCAGAGAAGTTTGCAAACAGGTCGTTTTCTCATGTCACGTACTGGAACGGATCTTATGAATGTCTAATATACAATAGATGGTGACAAAAAAATCTTTGAAAAAAATCAGCACCACGTTTTCAATGCAACTCTGACTTGTATTGAGCACTTTTATCGAAATACAGTTATACATATCCGCCTTTGTGGTATAATAAATTCATTTCTCTCTCTCTCTCTCTCTCTCTCTCTCTCTCTCTCTCTCTCTCCATCTCGTCTTTATGTCAAATATGGAAGCTACGACTGACAATTAATATTGATTCCATAATAAACAATAATATCTATGCAAAATATGTAACTACATATATTATATGTTACCTGTAAGTATTTGACGACTTTGCAAGCAATCGGTCCGGCTGACCAGGTAACGGTCGTTCTCCATATCATGTCGATCATCACGCTCACCAGTCCCACCAACAAATCTGTTTGCAAACACGGAGTTTTGTTATTTTTTTTTGTGTGTATTTATATATGTATACATAATATATATATACAGTGCCAGCACTAGGTATTGCGGGGCCCTGGACAGTAGCGTAATTGTGGGGGCAAGGGGGGGGTAAGTGCTCCCCTGATAATTTTTTGAGAAATAAAGATATAGTTTCCCCCCCTCCCCCAGATAATCCAACAGTACAAATAGCAACTTTTGTTAATGAACTCTTATGGGTATTATTTAACAATATTGGTATCTAGTACCTGCTACCTACAATTTATGTTAATCTAAACCACAAAATGAGTTAAAAGACTTATGTAAAATCAAACAATTAGATATACTGTATAAAATACATACAATAAAAATATGTTTTAACTGGTGAGTGGGAGGGGTGTCAGGGTTTTGGTAATAATAAATATATTATATTGCCCTCCTAAATTTTTCCTAGTTACGCCACTGGCCCTGGACATGGGTATTAGCCTTTAGGTCCCCAGAGAGGGGCAAAATTCTAGTTTTTTTTTAAATCAGGATTTTTTAAAAAAATACTGTTTTATTTTGAATTTTAAACAATAACTATAGAGATAATAAATATTTATATTATTATTTATTGTAGGAATCCTACTCGTTAAAATATTACACTTTCGTCGTATCGATAACGATTTACTTTGTACTTTGTACTATGGCTAAATTTAGATATCATTTTCCAAATAATTGGTGATAGGCATAATATAGATTTAAAATTTGTTAATATAAAATGCCAATGTGTCTCATGGTATTAAGATGATAATTAAAAATCATGGGGCCCTTTAACAAGCACGGGGCCCTGGACAAATGTCCCATTTGTCCTCCCCTAGCGCCGGCACAGTATATATACATATAAATTTATATGTAGTATATATATCTACAGTGCCACAACTGCATTCCGTGTCGTCATTGACAAATAGTATTTTGGCGCTTATTAAAAAACCAATTTTAATTTAACTCAAATGCACACCCTTACTTTGATGCACCCGTAGCAACCACCCATTTCACCAACCCTTTAGTTACGGCACTGGGTACATGTGGACATAGACGCAACTAGAGCCCAAATATTGGGGGTGCTGAAATTACATAACTCGCACTAGCCCGTGGGAGGCTACGCCAAAATTTCCTCCCACAAGTACCTTATCTCAATTTAATCATTAAATGTATCATATCAACACATATAAATAAATATTTTAATTTATAAATATTAACAAGTATAAATTGTAACATACCTATTTATTTCATTATATTATTTTATTTAGGTTATTTAGCACTAAGAAATATACAAATTAAAAAAAAATACTATACGATATACAATGTATAATATTTATACTGGTATTATCTTGCAATGACTAGCGGAATATTTTTCAAGTAATTTTGACGATGTAATTAACTAATAGTCATGAACAATCCATCTTTCTGATAAAAGCATCAAATAAAAATAACTATATGAAATAAGAAAAACACTATTTTTCACACAATTTTTCAATTATTAATTTTTTAATTGAGGGTGCTAAATTAGAGCCTGGGGGTGATTTACCACCCCCAAGCACCCCCCTAGTTGCACCTATGCATGTGGATAGTTTATAATATGTGCACGTGTTATTATAATATTATATATCATCTAGTGGTGGACGCGAAGCTGGATTTCTAGCAGACCCTTGGTGTTATAGAGGTGAGGTGTGCAATTTAATAGCTGATGTGTAGTATCTAGGGCTCGGAAGTTGTTGCATTTGCATGTTTTTCTTGCACCATTGGATTTATTGCTAAGTGAGCTAGAAATTCGTATCAAGACACTACCAAAACCATATCAAAAGTTTATAGTGTATATTTTTGCATATTTAGTGATTTTCAGATTTTATGGCATATTTTTTAATTTTACAATTTCTTAGAGCATATTTTATGATTTTTTAAGATTCAGTAGGAAAATTTGAAAAATAAAAAAATAAATATATTCATATTAAGAGAATTTTCTTGATATTCCTGTATCGTATTTTTCAAATTTCCATTTGATATTAAAAACAATGTTTTTCCCCTATTGGTTAATATAATATATATATATATATATATATATATATATATATATATATTTATAAATTATAACTATAGCTTCATCTAAAATAAAATATTTACAAATATCAAATAAGAGCAGCTGCTATCGAAATACAATGATTTTCTATAAATATTTTTCTAGGAAAATAACTCAAAGATTATTGAAAATTCTACAAGCGCATTTTTTTATTCAAGAAACATTTTTAATGCTATTTTATTATTATTATTTTTTTTAAAATTATGATTAAAATTTAAAAATCAGAATTATTTTTATTACTTTGCTTTTTCTATATTTATGATTTTATAAAATATTTGTACAAATGAAAATTTTGTGTACAAAAATAAAATATAAGTGTATATTTTTAGAGCATATTTGTACTTTTTTAAGTGCGTAAGTGCATGCATATTTAGTATTTTTTAAGTGCATTAAGTTCCGAGCTCTAGTAGTATCTATTTTTATGTTAGCCTTCCGTACTCCACCCTTTGGTTGATATGAGTCCTTTGCTGGAGCAGTTTATCGTAGATCAGTTATTTTATATCTTAATAATTATTACTACGCTATTTAATTAATATGAAGTACACAAAAATGGGTGTGACTCATAATGGGGAGCTAAGCCCTCGGATATCGCAAAATAATTAAGGTTTTCCTAATATACATACTAGGTATGTATTAAAAGTCATTATTTCAGATACGATTGATAACCTACCTAATGCATAAGATTCAATTTGCACTTAATGCATCTAAGAGAAAATTGTTTATAACGGACACATTTTTAGAAGTGTTATTTCAGTTTTTAAAAAGAAAGGAAACATTTTAACGGTAGACTATTCGTTCTTACGCCGGGAAATGTTTTAAAATTTAACATGATAAGTTTAATATCTTGACGAAGTTGGAGGTTTAGAAAAATGTAAATTGCATATTGGTTATGTCCGTCGGTCACGAGCAAGAATCGGAAAACTACATTTCAACGTGACATCCGTCGGGTGTCATGTGTTAACGTATATTTTAATTTAAGGCAGCTGTGTATTTACGACCGTCCAAAACGCCGGTGGGACAGAGTTTTCTGACGAAACAAAAATGTAAAATAAGGACGAAGGAGCACAGACCGAATGTCCGCGGTGTTGGATTACGCTTCTGAAGTCGGAATGAGAAAAAAAAAACCGCTGAGCCAATATTATTGGACTGCGAGCGACGTGCCAGCGAAGTGCACTGATACGTAGCAATACGAGCGAGAATATTACGTGGCGCAAGACGGGAATAATCGGAACACATCTAATTTGCATACAGAATTATCGAGTGCTAGTAAAGTAGCACGCGTGATCTCGCGGTTCGGACTTGTCCCGTTTACAGGTGCCAATAATTTACGTACGTGCGAATTACACATATTCCGTTGGATGGCGACCGTGAACGAGGCAGTGCCGATCACCACGACGCGAAGTGTGTACAGATCATCGTACCGCGCGTGCACGTAGGACGACCGGGTTTCGCTTGTTATTCCCTTGACCCTCGTCCCGGCGACCGTGAAGTCCGTACCGATAATGAAACATAAACGCGCAGGTACATGTAATTTTGTTGTTTACATTATTTTCCGTCGTGCCCGTCGGACTCGTCTTGTACGCGTCCGGTTTTGAAAGATTAGAAACAAACATGAAAAATGTTTCGCACACTCGCGTATCCACAGCCGTATAAAAATAACAATAATAGTTTTACGGTCGGTACGTGCGCGCATACGTTACGCGCGCTGGCATCCACGTGTTTATCGCGCGCGAAACGACCGTCCGTAAATAAACCAGTGATGGGAACAATCGAGAGAAAATACTCGATTGTTCGATGTAATCGATTGTTCTCGATTGTTTTGGAAATCATCGAGTGTTCGCTCGGTATCAAAATCAGTTGAAATAATCGAGTGAAAAATGCTCGAATTACTCATACACTCGTTTAGTTCCGAGTTATTCTCTCGGTAACAAAATCCTATATCAGTTGAAGTAATCGAGCGAAAAGTGCTGGTTAGGTTAGATAAGGTCTAAGATAATATAACGTTTAACTAATAGGTAGTCGGTACTAGTTTACTTTTTGTTTGTATTCTTCGTTCATCATACCCGAAATATTTGTAATCGAATTATGACAAAAATAAAAATGAAAAATTGTAAAACATTTTGATATTTGTGTTTTTTTTTTCTGTCTTCGCTTCTTTTCTAAACATTCGAAACACGTTTATGAGCGAATAAAATGGTACTAATTTATTATTGCCATACCAGCAATAATAATTAGATTTGGGTATTCTAACTCCCAACACTCAGTTTTAATTATTTAAAATTATAATACATAACATATTTTAAAGTTTAAAAATTTGATTAGGTATTTTATCGTTGAATCCAACAATTCAAATTCTTAATCACTGCTCGTAAAGATGCATTCATTAAATTAAATATTACAAATGTAGTAGTTTAAAATTGACAAATTTTAATGGTATGATATTGTGATATTATATTTTATTTTAGTTTTTATCCATTTTTGGTCACAATAATATTTTTAAACATTAATTTAAACATTTTTTAACTTTTTTTTAATTTTATAACGTTTTTTTTTTTATTTACTATATATTGAGTTGTAATTTAATAAGTAACAATTTTTATTGTTTTAAACAAGGATTTAGTTTTATTTTATTTATATGAAGTTGATAATAAACTAAAATATTCCCAAAATAATACGACATGTTTAATTTTATGGTTCATTAATATATGGTAGGTATATAATTAAAATGTATTATGGTTAATGTATTTATTATAAGTAATACAACGTATTTATTAGTTCAATTATTATTCAAACGATCGAGCGATTTCATAATATAATATTACACTAGGTACTACCTACTAGAATTTTAAATTTTTATTCAGTAATCAGCAAATAGTTACTATCAACTAAGTACTAACCGAGAGATTTTTTTCGAGTGAATCTCTCGATTGCTAAATATTCTCGATTGTTTCCATCACTAAAATAAACGCACACACACACACTGGCCCGCCGACAGTAAACCGTTGTCGCCCACTAATACTAATAATGTACTCGTTACGGGTTGGAAACGGCGGCCGGTGCAGCAGCAGTCGCAATTAAAACATCGTTACCGGAGAAAAATGAAAAAAAAAAAAAAACCGAGTAACAATATTATGCGTAGAAGACGATCGGGTAATAATGATCGCAATAGAACGTCGATCAATCAAGTGTGAACGAGTATCGCGTTATCGTGCCACTGCAAAATAATAACCAATATTAAAAACACGACGTTAACGAATATAATAATACGGTGAATGTTTATATTACTTATATAAATAACTTATTATTACTATTATACAGAGAGGCGTGTTTTTTATTTGCCCGGGAGTAGCTCGGTTAGAATCCCGATTGGTTTTTCAAAACATTCCTGGCGAATCACGTGCGGGTACCCTGAACACTCCTTATGGGACACTGCACCCGCAGTTCGGTGTGTGGAAAACGATATCGATATTATGAAAGGTGAACCAGGATCCTCGAAATCTACACAAGGGTTACCATTATATGAGGATACCGCGCAGTGGACCAAAGGATAAAAACGATGCAACGTCAACTATTTATCAGATGATATATTTAGGTCTTTTGACCAAATACTTTATACCTAGTTAATCATAAGAATCATATACTTGTATATTAAACCGTATGGATTTTCACCCCCATATTATTAATAGCGGTAACTGCGTATCGTCGATATTGCATGAAAATCTATGTCATAGATGGATATTTGATTTAAATGCGTCTCGAATTTACTTTTGAGCAAATTTACTTGACGAACTGGATGGTTATCGGAAATGGAATATTTCTTGAGTTTCGCGGGGCTCCGTCTAACAGTTAAGTGTATTTTAGTGTGGAGACACGAACGATATTCGAGTGTTGAGATAAAACTCACTCAGGCAGATGACTTTTTATTGATTTTTTAATACTTTATAAACATTTTTTTTTATTTTACAACTTTTTTTAGTCGGCCGACTACTTAAATTGAAACTACAGGCCAATTATCGATCTTAGTTCTGTCATTAATTAATGCAATAAAAATGTAATTATTGCTTGAAACCACTTTGATCGATTGATATTTATTAGTTATATATATATTTTTTTCAGTTTTTTACGAGTTTCTATGAAAATATTTTGAATTTTATTATTTTTCAGTGTTCACGGAATACAAATTCTGGCTACGTCTGTATTTTAATCATGCACTGCAAAATTTATATAATAATATACGTTGGACGAAACCGTAAAAGAAATAAAAACACAAAAAAAAATACTTGCCGGCCAGCGCAAGGTGCATGATGAAAAAGTTCATGCGGTTCTTGCGAGCTTTGTTGAACGATAAGGCCACCAGCACGGCTCCGTTGCCCAGCACGATCGACAGGAACAATATCCATAGCACTGTGAACTGTACGGTCTGCGAAAAAATAAAACGAATCGGTAAAATATTTGTAAAAAAATAATACATTTACCATTTTGCGCTCAAATTGTTTCACAGTTTCAATTGTTGTTTCGCGATGTGTTAAACGAATATAATAGAAAGCGTTCGTTTAACTAAATTCGAGGATAGGACGTTGTTTACAATACTACATAATGCATAATATCAAATATTTCATTAAATTATAAATCATTTTTAAATTCACCTTTTATACTATATTTTTTATGAAAATAAAACTGTTTGTCTATAATTATAACTGTAACAATTCCTATTAAAAATTAACCATATTGAGTATGTATTTATGTACATTTCAGTAGTGATGAGCAAAGTTAGTTAGCAAAGTTAGTCTTGGTCTTGCTACAACACCAAAACCAAGATCAAGATCAAGACTGAATCTGCAAGATCAAGTCCAAAACAAGATCCACTCAGCAAGAGTTTTGCAGTCATGCCATTTTTATTGTAATTAAAAAATATTTTTTCTCAGAAAAACACATTTAGTATTGGTTAAATTAAATAATTTACTAAGAATATAATAAAAATTTAATATTAAATTTAATGTCAAAATGGCGGTTTAAAGTTAACCAGAATAAATACGTTCACACAACCTTTACCCTAAGACATACTCCTTGTCCTGGTGTTGTCCTATATGGAATTCCAATTCCCTACTCTCCAAAAATCAAATACCTCGGCCTTACGTTAGATCAAAGATTAACGTGGGCTCATCATATCAGAACCAAAAGATTAGCATTGAATCATCGTCTTCGATTACTTAAACCCTTATTATCCAATAATAATCACACCTCCCTTAGAACTAAACTGCTTATATACAAAACACTATTGAAACCACTATGGACCTACGGCCTTCAGCTTTAGGGCAATGCGAAAAAGACAAATATTTTAAAAATCCAAACCTTTCAAAATATCGTGCTTAGAAAACTAACAAATGCTCCACCTTACGTGTCAAATCATACACTACACACCGACTTGAAACTTAATAAAATAAATGATGAAGCTAAAATCTTTTACAAAAGATTCTATTACCGTCTAAATAATCACCCTAATCAATTAATAAAAAACTTGGCCACTCCCACAATACCTGGAAATCCTCCGAGACGTCTGAAGCGTAAGTGGTGTAGAGATCTCTTAAATTAAATAAATTATATATTATATATTAAATTAAATTAAAAATAATTAAAAAAAAAAAAAAAATAAATAAATAATTATCAAGTTAGTAGATAGTGCTATCAATGGGTGGCTTCTTTCAATAAAACCTCATGATATGTTAACCTTTATCATATTTTCTTATTGTGTCTAGTATGGATACAGATTGTTAATTACTTTTGAATATTAAAAAAAAAAAGAAAATTTAATTTAATGTAGGACGCGGTGTTCGGGGAAATAATGCATTATTGAATTATTTAAAACAAGATAAGAAATAATTAGATAAGATAATCACTATAAAGTAGTATAAAAGTTTCTATTAACTCCTAGCCTTGATAGGGATATAATTTTTTTTTTTTTAATTTTAAATAATGCAATAGTCTTGCAGCAAGACCAAGACTAAGACCAAGAATGAGTTTACAAGAAAGAAGAAGACCAAGACCAAGACTACCATAGTCTTGGTCTAAGTTTGCTTATCACTACATTCCAGAATCAAAGCCATAACTTATTACTACTGTACCTGTTAAACTCTGTAGTTTATTGATTAGCACGGAAGTATAAAAAAAGATTGTTAGATTATCTCATTCCTATAATATTTCATTCACCTAATTGTTGCAAATTAATATACAACTACTCAACTTATTTTGATAAATATGATATAAATTCTTAATATAACTACTACCGTTGTGTATAAATAAAGCGATTTTAAAACATTAGGTTTGAAAAATTAATTTCGGTCAACCGTTTGATTTGTCATTATTCATTAATTAGTGGCGAATTTGTTAAAATCGAAAACAAAATCTTAATTCACCAACTTAATTCAGTCCTATAATTAAAATCCTATAAAATCCTATAATTACATTTGTTTCTCGTCAACGCAGCTACCTGTGAATCAATGTTGTTTGTCTATCGTTTTGTCGGGTTCTAGTTTTCGCATGATACAAACGCAATGACTTTATGGTCACTATATCTGACCGTTTTAGTATTTTAGCATTGAGCTGAAAAATATATTCTTAAGGAACTAATTCAGATAAGGCGATTACCATAACCAATAAAGCTTTATAAACCTCGTTTGTTTTGAAAAATTATAACTTCATAAAACGTTTCCATTCCAATAAGATATTCAGTACAGCCCGATAACTTACCTGAGTGCTTTGATTTGAGGAAAAAAATCTTTATAACTTCAATACCATAGTATTTTTTGAAAATCTGCCATTATTAAAAATTCGAATCATGGGAAAGTAAATGCCATTAATTTTTTATATAATTATTTATCATTAAAAATTAGTCAGTGGTTAGTAACATAATGACCTGTTTTTTTTTACCTATTTATGTTATATATTTAATTGATTGAATAAATCGCAGATTTTATCCAGTGTTGTAATGTAATAGAGTACAACGAGTTATGACAACATTCAAATTTTATTTTTCTACTTTTATTCAACGTTACAATAGCGAAAAGACTGATTTTCGAGGTTTGTCGAGAATGTTTGCGAAACCGTTTGTACACCACTGATTCCATATCGTTGTGATAAAATTTATCGTTACACAATAATTTTTTCGCTAAAAATCGATAAAGTTTTGTCGACTTGTGTGGTCCTACCGAGTGTTATCTTTGTCTTATTTGAGTATAATAATTGAGTAGCCACATCGAAATGCACATCTCGTTATGGCCGCCTAATTAAAGAGGGTTTCCAATACGCTATTATGATCGAATAACGCTCATACTGAAGTATTATTAATTATTGTTATTAAAAACGTCCATGTAGACGGTTACGAACGAAACCGCAGCCGCGTTCGCACCATCGTTTTATATCAATAAATTAACGATACGACGATAATAATATTATAATATAGCCGTCTGTCGTTGCGCGACAAGGCAAATATTATGTTTCTTCTCGCATCTACCGCACACCGCTATCGTACGCCCGATCGCGCGTGTGATGTATTATTTTATATTTTTATTTTTTTCCGTTTCTCGTAAGTATTTCGCATCGCCTTCTGTTTTAAGCCGATTATTGTACGCACACCATCGTCGTTTGGGTTCCCGCGTCACGTACGACTTAGTGCCGTTTTTAACGATTATCATCTCTCACATCATAATGCACACATGGTGTACGTACAATATAATATATTGTACGTATATGCGCGCGCGAATACGAATGCATGCGAGTAGACTATATTTTTCCTTATAAAAAAACTTTTTTGTACGCGCGCTGATAAATTTACACTCGCGCTTCCCCGCTGCTCTTTCCGTACTTCTTCTGGCCTGTTAATACGTACCGCTAAGGTCCTTTGCCGCTCCCACAATCCTTCTCCGCTGATCCCTATCCGTTGCCAAGTCGATGCCGAAGGTGTTGTTTATCCTGGACAGGTCTCTAATCACCGAATCAAACCATCTCTGGCGCGGTCTCCCCGGGGGTCTGTTTCCAGTCGGGTTCCCCATCAACTTTTTCTCTCCGTACACGTGTATTATGTGTACACGCGCGGTGTGCGGTCCTAATATACGAGTAGAATTCGTGTAATACGCGTCGCTTCCAACGATATACGTTTCCTCTTGCTTGGTCTGTACGGCCACGTAGTTTCTGTGTGAAACGATTTCCGCGAGGATTCGATTGCTGCCCGGTCGGATCGTGGGTCCGCGCGACTTCCGGCCGACAGGAGGGCCGAAGTTAAATGAAATACGTACGCGCGTTTGTATACGGTTACGATATTTTTACTCAAGGGTTCGGTTGATAAAAACGTTGAATATCATTACGTTATGAGATGGATAATGGTAACAGTGCTCCGAGTTAGAACGTGTGTACGACCAACAAATATTTATTGATATATTTTTCGAACGTTTAAAAACTCGTTATGAAAAGCAAATCGAGCGATGCGGGAACAATTTTTTTGAGGCGGTTGGGTTCATTTGATCTGCCTTTGCTACAGGCGGTCCGCCTAGCACACAGTATTGATGGGGCTCAACAATAATACTATTATCGTGTAAATCCACGTATAATTCTATAAATCACCTACAAATCCACGTATGTAATGAAAATAATAATAATACTTTTAGTCGGTGGCTCGCCTTCGAAATAATACTCGCCTGCACGCGGTACAAATGCACATTAAATTATCATATCGTAATATATTTTATACGTGCGCACATGTATGAATGATAAATAATACATCTAATGTTATGCGTTTCTTGTACGGTACACGGCCGACGACAGCACATACCCATATCATGCGTGATGTAGCTGCTGATAATATTATTATATCCGGCGTATAGAGTGATTTAATAATAATAATAATAATGGTAATAATATATTTCAAGACCGTCCGCTTGTTAATTATTATATTCCACGATGGTTAATATGTATTTGTGTCGTGTGATATAATTATAATAATAATTATGACGGTGACGTCACAGGCACTCGCAATTCATGATCTCGTCTCTGGATCACAATATCGTATTATCGCGCATTGTCATTGTACATTTGTTGTTTCGTTCGTGTTTTTCGCGAAAATCCAACATGCACATTTTTAGTCTCTACGTCACCCCCTCCCTCTCGGGGTACAATTTACATACGTATGCAGGCGAGAATACAAAGGTGGATAGGAGGCTGGAGCACTTCCCTCCTCTCTTAGGCCTTAGATACTAAAAATATTTTAAAGATTACTTTAATTTTCGATTTATTGATTTAAGTAAAGAGAAGCAATGTTATATTTATAAGTTATAACAAAAGACCGGATTTATATGTAATTTAAATTTTTATAAACAAAAAGAGTAGATTGGTTAATAATTAATAGTATACGTTGGTAATAGGAAAAAT